GCCCTTATTTATGAATTTAAGGTTTAATCGATCATAAAATATATATTTGAAATGAAAAATGCTTATGATAAACATTTTTATAGTCTATTGTAGGTTAGAAAACTAAAAGTAAATTTGATTTACCAGTAGTGTAAGCCCATCGACCGTTTTTCACTGGTGTAGGCCGAGCAAGGCTTGTATGTGTGTGAACCCACGCCGGTACACCCTGCGGTAAATACAGTGATGCTCACATGTATGCAGACGCCACGCCGAAAGAAGATTTGGGGTCGAAGACGGCTAACACATACAGTAGTCGATCGGTACGATGGGTACTTATATGTGTGGCAAGGTGACGAGACTGTAGTGGGTACGGCTTACGGCACCACGACCGGCGTTTCGTACGGTAGTACGTACGGCCAAACCTATGGTTAGGTTTTTAAGAAAAAAAAAAAGAACTTTAATTTTCTGTTGGCCGGCAGTTGGGGTACAATTTCACTCACCCGATGGGTTCGGCTTTCGCTTAATAAACGTAGGAATGGTCTGCTGCTCTTTTGACTAGATCTTAGCCACTATGGACACGCGGTAATTACGGTCGAGGTTAGAATTGTTCCTTTCACTGCACTAACTTGAGTATTTTCTTCAGACGTCCGTCTGGGATCGCAAGTACAATTGGAAATAGATGCACAAGTCACTCTCCTTCCGCTTGAGCCCTTGGTTCTCCAATTCCCCTTTTCTCACCACACCTTGACAGTTGCCGCTGTTACCTTTTGTCATTTTTTGCTTGCGCGTAACTGCCCAAAAGGTGCAAGGTGCATGTCTAAGGGAAGGGGAAACCGTGAGACGGTTATGAGATATTTTTGGTTGGACAGGCGCCACTACATAGATGCATGTCACAACTCAATCAGAAGAGTCCCGAAATGTATGAAATCAATAATGACCTTTGCAATAATTGACACTCACAGAGAAAATGGCAGACAACGTCAGCAAGTCATCAATCATTATATCCGCTTCGCTTTTCTTCGTCTCGCATTCGAGTACGAGCCAAATAATGAATATTCCGCTCATTCGAAAGAGCTGATTGGTGCTTTGGACAAAGGATGCCACCATTTTCATAAGCTCAAAGTCAAACATGAGTCAGAAAAAGGGAAACTTCCAGAAACGTTATTTCATGCATAAATCAAGATCTAGTAGTCCTAGATTTGCTGTCAAAATTTTACTTTTTCTTGTACTGCCTTTGAATTATCCATTATCAAATTGAGTTTTGTTCAGAAAACAACAATTCGGTTCTTTAAATTTCACAAATTTTTTTTTTTTGTCTTTCTACTGTGAATTTGTGAATTTTTTTTCTTTTTTCATATGAAACCTACCAGCATCATGGAGAAAGAGTGCACGTTCAATGGCAATTCATCTACAGACAGAGATGAGCATATTCAGCCGGTAGCCGGCTTGGCTCCCGACTTCCCGATCCCTGATGAAGCAAAGGAGCGTCCGACTCCAGCCCCGATCCCTGATGAAGCAAAGGAGCGTCCAACTCCAGCCCCAATCCCTGATGAAGCAAAGGAGCGTCCAACTCCAGCCCCGATTCCTGATGAAGCAAAGGAGCGTCCGACTTCAGCCCCGATCCCTGATGAAGCAAAGGAGCGTCCGACACCAGCCCCGATCCCTGATGAAGCAAAGGAGCGTCCGACTCCAGCCCCGATCCCTGATGAAGCAAAGGAGCGTCCAACTCCAGCCCCGATTCCTGATGAAGCAAGGGAGCGTCCGACTTCAGCCCCGATCCCTGATGAAGCAAAGGAGCGTCCGACTCCAGCCCCGATCCCTGATGAAGCAAAGGAGCGTCCGACTCCAACCCCGATCCCTGATGAAGCAAAGGAGCGTCCGACTCCAGCCCCGATCCCTGATGAAGCAAAGGAGCGTCCGACTCCAGCCCCAATCCCTGATGAAGCAAAGGAGCGTCCAACTCCAGCCCCGATTCCTGATGAAGCAAAGGAGCGTCCGACTTCAGCCCCGATCCCTGATGAAGCAAAGGAGCGTCCGACTCCAGCCCCGATCCCTGATGAAGCAAAGGAGCGTCCGACTCCAGCCCCAATCCCTGATGAAGCAAAGGAGCGTCCGACTCCAGCCCCAATCCCTGATGAAGCAAAGGAGCGTCCAACTCCAGCCCCGATTCCTGATGAAGCAAAGGAGCGTCCGACTTCAGCCCCGATCCCTGATGAAGCAAAGGAGCGTCCGACTTCAGCCCCGATCCCTGATGAAGCAAAGGAGCGTCCGACTCCAGCCCCGATCCCTGATGAAGCAAAGGAGCGTCCGACTCCAACCCCGATCCCTGATGAAGCAAAGGAGCGTCCGACCTCAGCCCCGATCCCTGATGAAGCAAAGGAGCTTCCGACTCCAGCCCCGATCCCTGATGAAGCAAAGGAGCGTCCAACTCCAGCCCCGATCCCTGATGAAGCAAAGGAGCATCCGACTCCAACCCCGATCCCTGATGAAGCAAAGGAGCGTCCGACTCCAACCCCGATCCCTGATGAAGCAAAGGAGCGTCCGACTCCAGCCCCGATCCCTGATGAAGCAAAGGAGCGTCCGACTCCAGCCCCAATCCCTGATGAAGCAGAGGAGCGTCCGACTCCAGCCCCAATCCCTGATGAAGCAAAGGAGCGTCCAACTCCAGCCCCGATTCCTGATGAAGCAAAGGAGCGTCCGACTTCAGCCCCGATCCCTGATGAAGCAAAGGAGCGTCCGACTTCAGCCCCGATCCCTGATGAAGCAAAGGAGCATCCGACTCCAGCCCCGATCCCTGATGAAGCAAAGGAGCGTCCGACTCCAACCCCGATCCCTGATGAAGCAAAGGAGCGTCCGACCTCAGCCCCGATCCCTGATGAAGCAAAGGAGCTTCCGACTCCAGCCCCGATCCCTGATGAAGCAAAGGAGCGTCCAACTCCAGCCCCGATTCCTGATGAAGCAAAGGAGCGTCCGACTTCAGCCCCGATCCCTGATGAAGCAAAGGAGCGTCCGACTCCAGCCCCGATCCCTGATGAAGCAAAGGAGCGTCCGACTCCAACCCCGATCCCTGATGAAGCAAAGGAGCGTCCGACTCCAGCCCCGATCCCTGATGAAGCAAAGGAGCGTCCGACTCCAGCCCCAATCCCTGATGAAGCAAAGGAGCGTCCAACTCCAGCCCCGATTCCTGATGAAGCAAAGGAGCGTCCGACTTCAGCCCCGATCCCTGATGAAGCAAAGGAGCGTCCGACTCCAGCCCCAATCCCTGATGAAGCAAAGGAGCGTCCAACTCCAGCCCCGATTCCTGATGAAGCAAAGGAGCGTCCGACTTCAGCCCCGATCCCTGATGAAGCAAAGGAGCGTCCGACTCCAACCCCGATCCCTGATGAAGCAAAGGAGCGTCCGACTCCAGCCCCGATCCCTGATGAAGCAAAGGAGCGTCCGACTCCAACCCCGATCCCTGATGAAGCAAAGGAGCGTCCAACTCCAGCCCCGATTCCTGATGAAGCAAAGGAGCGTCCGACTTCAGCCCCGATCCCTGATGAAGCAAAGGAGCGTCCGACTTCAGCCCCGATCCCTGATGAAGCAAAGGAGCGTCCGACTCCAGCCCCGATCCCTGATGAAGCAAAGGAGCGTCCGACTTTAGCCCCGATCCCTGATGAAGCAAAGGAGCGTCCGACTCCAACCCCGATCCCTGATGAATCAAAGGAGCGTCCGACCTCAGCCCCGATCCCTGATGAAGCAAAGGAGCTTCCGACTCCAGCCCCGATCCCTGATGAAGCAAAGGAGCGTCCAACTCCAGCCCCGATCCCTGATGAAGCAAAGGAGCGTCCGACTCCAACCCCGATCCCTGATGAAGCAACGGAGCGTCCGACTCCAACCCCGATCCCTGATGAAGCAAAGGAGCGTCCGACTCCAGCCCCGATCCCTGATGAAGCAAAGGAGCGTCCGACTCCAGCCCCAATCCCTGATGAAGCAAAGGAGCGTCCGACTCCAGCCCCAATCCCTGATGAAGCAAAGGAGCGTCCAACTCCAGCCCCGATTCCTGATGAAGCAAAGGAGCGTCCGACTTCAGCCCCGATCCCTGATGAAGCAAAGGAGCGTCCGACTTCAGCCCCGATCCCTGATGAAGCAAAGGAGCGTCCGACTCCAGCCCCGATCCCTGATGAAGCAAAGGAGCGTCCGACTCCAACCCCGATCCCTGATGAAGCAAAGGAGCGTCCGACCTCAGCCCCGATCCCTGTTGAAGCAAAGGAGCTTCCGACTCCAGCCCCGATCCCTGATGAAGCAAAGGAGCGTCCAACTCCAGCCCCGATTCCTGATGAAGCAAAGGAGCGTCCGACTTCAGCCCCGATCCCTGATGAAGCAAAGGAGCGTCCGACTCCAGCCCCGGTCCCTGATGAAGCAAAGGAGCGTCCGACTCCAACCCCGATCCCTGATGAAGCAAAGGAGCGTCCGACTCCAGCCCCGATCCCTGATGAAGCAAAGGAGCGTCCGACTCCAGCCCCAATCCCTGATGAAGCAAAGGAGCGTCCAACTCCAGCCCCGATTCCTGATGAAGCAAAGGAGCGTCCGACTTCAGCCCCGATCCCTGATGAAGCAAAGGAGCGTCCGACTCCAGCCCCAATCCCTGATGAAGCAAAGGAGCGTCCAACTCCAGCCCCGATTCCTGATGAAGCAAAGGAGCGTCCGACTTCAGCCCCGATCCCTGATGAAGCAAAGGAGCGTCCGACTCCAGCCCCGATCCCTGATGAAGCAAAGGAGCGTCCGACTCCAACCCCGATCCCTGATGAAGCAAAGGAGCGTCCGACCTCAGCCCCGATCCCTGATGAAGCAAAGGAGCTTCCGACTCCAGCCCCGATCCCTGATGAAGCAAAGGAGCGTCCGACTCCAGCCCCGATCCCTGATGAAGCAAAGGAGCGCCCGACTCCAGCCCCGATCCCTGATGAAGCAAAGGAGCGTCCGACTCCAGCCCCAATCCCTGATGAAGCAAAGGAGCGTCCAACTCCAGCCCCGATCCCTGATGAAGCAAAGGAGCGTCCGACTCCAGCCCCGATCCCTGATGAAGCAAAGGAGCGTCCGACTCCAACCCCGATCCCTGATGAAGCAAAGGAGCGTCCGACCTCAGCCCCGATCCCTGATGAAGCAAAGGAGCTTCCGACTCCAGCCCCGATCCCTGATGAAGCAAAGGAGCGTGCGACTCCAGCCCAGGATGGCACCTCGCCTCCACGTCCGTTCATCACGGATAGCGAGCATGTGACTCCGACTGAGACTGGGATTACCGTCAGGTGGGTGGAGGTGAGCGGCTTCCCACGGAAAATCACCGAGAAGATCCTGAAGTCATTCCACTCCGTGGGCACAATTCTGCGGATGCGCGAGACCCCGGAGGCTATCCGTCTACGGTACTCCGACCGAATGGGGCTCTATGGGGCCATGCAGCTCAATGGCAAGCGCATTAGCGGCTATCAGTTGGTCGTGAAGCCTCTTCTAGGGGATCCCCAGGGGACGGATCCCATCGTATATCCTACGAAGCCGCAGTTTCCGCACATGCACTGTTCGTGGACCCAGCGGATTGTGGACTGGAAGGAAAAATTACAGATACGCTTCGGTTTCGTCTTCTTTTCGTTGTTCGCAATTCTTTTGTGGTGTATGATGTCCATTGCAAAGGTGGGGAAGGTGCTAAAGTGGTTCTACAATCGCTTCTACATCCCAACACTCAAAGGGAAGTTTCTCAGTGGAGACCATCCCCCCACAGATGATTAACCAGAAGACAAAGGATCATCTGCGAAGGAGCCGTCCGCAAATACGAAATACGAATTCCATTTTAAGTTAGTTGCGTTTTATATACTATTATATGACTTATTTATCTTGAAACTATCTAACACTTAGCATCAAACACCGCCTCCTCCGGTATCTTACCCGAACGCTTCCACCCAGGCCTCCACAGGCCCTGCATCTGTCGCTGCTGCACAATGCTGATACAATCTGTATGTATACATCCGCCCAAAATGCTATTGATGGATCAACAAACACACGTACACGCTCTTGTAAAATATTAAAATGGATCGAAAAATATTCTTTACTTGACACCTGGATTCTTTCTGCTCCCCTGGATGTGTCCTGTCTCTCCTGTGGCAAATCAAAAGAGCAATTCCCTTTAATTTCCCTACGAGAGCTTACCCGCATCCAGCCACAGCCCCATTCCCGGGCGAGTAATGAAAAAGTTAGAAAGTAAAATGCACGCTCGGATGCCAAGTGGCAGTCCAAATTAACAGCTAATTACGTGCAAATGAGAAATTCCAGAGGCGAGGACGGTCAGGCGGTCTGACAGACAAGAATACAGACATACAGACATACAGGCGCGACATACAGACGAGAGGCAGATGGTGGGAAAGGACAGACAGACGAAGCAGGCATCCAAACACGTACACGCCCCAAAAAGACAGAGAAACGATGTTCGGGAGAGAGCAAAAAGTCAAACATTATTTGAATACGAAATCGCCCTTGAAAAGGGTTTCCAGCAAAGGGAAAACAAGGAAAAACAAAAAAAAAGGAGCGAGTGGGTAAAAAAGCAAACAACCAAATCCATCCTTAAGCCAAGCCAAGGATCTGAGGCGACAAATTAGTCAATGGCGTCGACGTCGACACTAAAAGCGTTATGATTGAGCAAGGACCCGGACAACCGGCAGCCGGCCACTGGGTCCGGGCATCCGACCAAGTCTGGAACTGAACCCCCCTGGGTTTACTCAGTTCATAACAATACTTTGTTGTTTTGTTCTGTTTTGTTGTGAAGCGAACATTTTACATCCCTTGGGTCAGTCAGCAAGTAAGTGGTCGCAATTAAAATTCAAAGAGCACAGTGCATTTTCCGCTCGCATCCGCCAGTCACCGCGCAGATTTCTAGTAGCTGTCCCTGTCCCTGTCCCTGTCCCTGTCATAAGATAGCCGCACCAATCCCCACACGTAGCAAGTGGCAGCCACCGTTTTCACCGCTGCGACAAGCCCTCTGCATAATTACATGGTCAATTGTGTGCAACAAATAACAAGGCATTAGGGAGGACCGAACCGGAGCAAAAACCTACGAGTATCCACAGCTTGGCAGCCACTCCTCGGCAACAGGGAAAAGGAGCCTCGGCGAATGTTTTTAGCCAACAGAACAGGAGCTCCTGCTCCTTTGCGGGCATTTGCATTCCCCGGATCCAGCTTAGTGTTAGTATCTTATCGAGTTTGCCAAATTAACGACTCAAAACGCATTTGCATTCGGTCCAAGCGTGCAGCAGCTTTGCATTCTTTAGTTATTTACATTTTACATTGTTTGTTTTTTCTTTCGTTGTTTTTCTGCTGTCACACTAGAAGTTTCTATTGCATAATAAAAACCCGTCTGGGCCCAAATATCATATCCGAGAAGCACGAACCAGTGCAATCCGATGCGCTCGTCATTGAGAAGGATCCCGCCTGTGGATAAGGATATTATGAAAACCCTCATTTAAGGAAGGGTTGAGAAGGTTATCAGAACTTCGCAATCTGTGATCGGCCACTAAGAAGTCGCCTCCTTAATGGCCGTACCATAGATGCTGCATTAATAAATGCCGAAAATAATGGACACTCCCGGTTAATTAGCTGACATTTGGTGAATACTTCGCTTGAAGAAAGTGCGAACCCGCCCAAGGCTACTGGTTCGCAGTCTCAAAGTCCCAAAGTTTACGACGCCACCCGGATTGCACCTGCAAGGGCACCCTGGACTCGGTGGACTGTCTGATGTGCCAAAAAATCAAATACCAGCCATGGCAACGCAGACAAAGACGACGACCGGCCGGGCAGACGCAGACGCAGACGTACCGTGAACCAAAAATAATGAACTCCAAATGAAGTAAAACAGAATGAAAATACAGTTTCAATTATTCATATTTCATTAGTGAACGACGGTGTTCCGCATCAGCAAGGGGAGATGAGGCGGCAGGTAACAGTAATGGTAAAGGCGTGGCCATATAAAATTTATAAAAATCAAAGTAAGCACTGTGAATGGTGGGTGGGGGGAGTAGATAGGGAAGGGGGGGAACAACAAGGCAGGGCGTTGGAAACAAATCATTATTTTTCTTGGCATGAGCAGCTAGGAGAAAGCAAGAGGAGCAGCAAGGAGCACCGGCGTCATCATTTAGGCCAGGGCACATTGATGAATGAAGTGCGTAGTGGTTGAAAGGCCAAAGGGCAGGACGCATTAAAAATGCACACGCAATCAGAAAATTCCTCACGACGGACTCATAAAGCGACTCCTGGCTCCGACAACCCGACAAACCCGTCGACTCCAACTCCGACTCCGACTCCGACTCCAACGCCGACTTCAGGTGATGGATCAGCAGCTACAGATGAGACAGACGACTACAGAATACAGAAGCACCCGGAGAAGTAGCCGGAGCAGCAGTTGGGCTAATGAGTGAGTCGAAGTGTGCTACACTCCCCCCATCAAAAGTCATAGGCCCTTTGAGCCGGGCCTCGTCGGTGGCAATTTATAATTTGTTTGAGGGCTTTCAGCGGCCTTTCAAGGCAATTACCCAGTGCTGCTGCCGTGGTTAGGATGGGTTCCGACAGCACCTTCGCAACGTTTCGGGTTGACTTCGAGCCTATCCGCTGAGCATGGGTCCGGTCCATCCGCTTACTAGGTCAACCCGACCTTCCCCGTACCCGTACCCTTTCCCGGGACCAAGTCATATATTACAGCGCCTGCACCTTGGAGCGCGGCGCTTCGCTCCACATAGCATCGCATAGCATCGTCGGGGATATTTTCTTTGACACGGCCAACATTCTGGCACGTTCGCATCGAGCAAACACCCATCGAGAGCTCGTGTATGTGCTTGGTCTGCGGCTGTTGATGTTACGGATGTGCTGACCCACAGATACGAGTATGCACAGATTTTCTTCCGTTCGCAGAGGTACTTTCGCTCTTTCCGCTTGGTATTGGATCTGTGGGCAAGGATGATGCTGAGGCTGAGGTTGAGCACGGCGATGATGATGGTACACTTCCATACAAGGCATTGTAGATTTGTATTAAAATTCAAGCTCTTTCATGTTATTAATATTCCATTGCGTATTCGCGCGAGAATATATTCCATTTTTAATAACACGAAACTTTATGAAAATTTTATAAATAAAAGGCACGAGCTGAAGAAGAAGCAGGAGCCGGAGGAGAAGGAGGAGGAGCAGGAGCAGGAGGAGACGACGGAGCAGCAAGAGAAGCCGTAGCTGGGTCCATCGCTGGCGTCAGAAAAAGAAAGCTCAAAAGTCAAAGCAAACACAGGGAAAAGTCACTGGGGCGAGCGAGAACTGTGGGATTCCCGGACTTGAACTCGACTCCGACTAAAGGGAGTCCCATGAAGAGGGGTAGAGTGGATGGACTCAGTTGGAGCGTCGGAGCGGGTGAACCGAGGGTGTAATTGCGCAATGAACCCAGCAGGAACGGTGGCCGGAGTAGAACAGGAGCAGGAGGAATCACACACAGAAAAAGAAACAACAAAGAAAAAACAATTGAAATGTGAATATTAAATATACGAGTACGAGCACCAGATGCCCTCCGCCCACCGTCTTCCCCATATCTCTGCCATCTCCGCTGCAGCACCTTGCATATGGCGGAGGCACACCCACATCCATACCCACACCACAGCCATCCACCACCCACCGTTTGGCGTCAACTCCCCGCGGCGTCATTGTGTACACTTGTAGGAGGCAACGGGAAATCCCATTTGATGGCATTTAGATGGGATCACTGATTGATGTTACGGGCTTTCCACGCTTTCCACGCCCCTTTCCTGGCTAAAAGTTTTCGGAGAGTCGATTCGTAAAGTCCTGGTGGACTCTTGGTCGAAAAGAAGGTATACTTAACTTGGCTAAAGATAAGCGGAATACTTGCGTAGATCTTAAGGGTATTATGCAGGAAATCTTCATTCCGGTAGATACGCTTTTGATAGAAACAGAGTCGAAGGAAGCAAAGATTGGAACTGTTCTAGCTATCGAACTTCCTAAGAGATCAATAGATTAAGATACGTAGATTGTTCAATACGGTTAATCGGTTATCTTAATGGAATAAGGATTAAGATTAATTTCAATCTCGTTCACGGCCATTTCTAGATGCTCATATTACAGACACTCGTTCCATTTAGTTGGTGAGTATACAGAATAATGGCAACAAGGTCTAAGCGAATCTCCGCTATCGGTCGACTGACATCATTGATTTCATTGGAAAAAGGTTGGGCGAGAACTCCAGCTAACTTTTCGCTCATCTGCACTATCGAATTCCCCGTAATTCTTGGCCTTATACCGGAACTTCTGATGATAAGTCCCTCCCGGGTAGGGAGCACAGCCCCCGATTACTTGTAATGCATGCAACGAGGCACATTAATTAAATAAAAATTGATTTTCCAAGCGCATGAAATGCAATCAACGACCAGGCTTCAAGTGGGCCCATCTCCGTCGCTATGGGATGGAGAACTATACCGAGAGCATGTGGCCTGGATCCTGTCTCTACTCTCTGCGCCCCTTCTCCGTTCCAGCCCCCTGTCAAATGTAGTTAACAAAGTGTACGCTTTTTCCGCCTGTGTCCCACTCTACTGCTCTGCTATTTTTTGTGCGGCTTTTTCACTCGGTGCGGATGCTGCTGCGTCGTATGCATAAGTATATAATGTGCAGCTGGCTGGACATGGATGGTGCCAGTATCCATGGTTGGGTTGGGTTTGGACCCTGCGCCACGTCCATGGTAGCCATGGTGCCGGGCACCCGCTTGTTTCGCCTTTTATCCATTTGGCCACAACGGCGGCAATGAGTTTAATGTGCGCTGTCGCTTTTTGGCCGTATTTAAACCACAGCAAGTCATCAGGCAAATTGAATTTTCAACGTATGGTCGCACATTGCGTTGCACCACTCCGTGGCACCACGACACCACTCGCCTGGTCTTCTCTATCTCATTTTCCCTCGCCATCGCTGGATCTGCGCTTCGGTCCATCCAATAGTGATCCAGCTTTAAGGCTTTGGGTCTGTGTCCGTGTCCGTGTCCATGTCAGTGGCAGCATAACATTTCCATCTCTCTCTTGTCAGCTCGGTCAGCGAGTGTTCGTCTCCCTCTGTGCCCTCTATAGACCACTCTCTTTACCACAGTCGCTTTCTTCGTTTCTCGTTACAAAATTACCCACGATAAAAATTGAATTACTTCATCGCCGTCGTCGTCGTCATCGTCGTCGTCGTCGTGTTCCAGCTCCCTGGGAAGAAGGGGCATTGTCAGTGCAAAGTGTTATGCTTACTCTTGACGCGGCCATGGCCCTGCTCCGCCGACTACTTAGAAGATACTGAAACTGTCGCCAGGCCTGGCTGGGCGTAGTCCTCCTCCCAGTTCTGGTCCTGGTCTCGGTCTCGGTCCTCCTGCTGGCTGGTGCCTGTCCTGCGTGTATGTGTGTGTGTGTGACTTGGTCTAATGATAAATGAGCTGCAATGGATGACAGCGAATCAACTTAAGTGTATTGCTCTGCTTCACTCTCCCATCCTCCCACTCGGAGTGCCGGTCCAGAGAGTACTCACAGAGCCTTCTCGCTAACTCCCTAACTGTACTTCTGGCCGGGAGAGCAGGCCCCCCATCTTCCCAGAATGCCAGCCAACAGCCAATGCACTTTCCCCTCGGCGCTTTTTTTTCCGTGTTTGCGCTTCACTTGAAAATTCCGGGGTACACTAAATATTTACATAGGAAAAAACTTGGCAAGTGTAAGTGAGATGCTTTAAGGAGCACTGGGCGGAAAACTTGCGGGAGTTCCACCACTCATTATGAGGGGGGCAGGACTAAGGCGGATAAAAACAGGAATATTCAGTAAATTTGACGGAACTTAAGTGGGGTTATCCGGAAAGAAGCGGCAAACCAGCAGTTGGAGCAGCTTCAGATTCATCTCATACTAACGGCTTCGAGCCGATAGCGGCTCAGCAATAATATTTCCTGGCTTTCGCTGCTATTATAGATGTAGTGACCTTAGCCAATTCAGATGAAGATATTGCTCCGTCATTGCCAGCTCATGATTCTGCCATGTACGCTTAATCCACTTACTAGACGTTCTTATAGTATTATAAGGCTGGCAACGGGCACAATCAAACAAAATCCTTCTCAGAATCAAACATGTCTGGAAAATAACACAGTCCCAACAAGTGACTAAGACCGCGAAAAAGTACACAGCTGCTGCAATGATTGCACCGACAGTGGATGCTTAATACCATTTTTTTTAATCAAATTTGTCTAAAAAAAACTTTTTCTTGGGTTTCCAGAGGAGGGCTAGATTGCTTAGACTGCTGCAAGCCATTGGCAATGGAAATTAAGCTCGGTCTGACACGGTACCTCTTATATACCTACTAAATAGAGAAAACGAGTTCATTAAATCAGTCATTGCATTCAAAGATTTAATCAAGAAATGGGAAGGGTATGGGCAACCGGCAGAACGGCCCAGAAAATACAACGCATGCATGGGTCCACCCCTTTTGCCTAATAATATAAACCTTGAAGACGAAAAGCCGCACTCTCTCACTAACACCTACTAGGCAGTGTGACAGAAAGTGGACGGGAGTAAACGTAAATTGAAAAGAGTGCAACGAAAGAGACCACTGCAAACAATTTCGTAGTGTAGAGCTCAGAATACACTGAGAATAATATTGGGATCCATCATATACTTTATGGGGTTTGACATGCATCCTCATCGGTGTTACACACACCACACCACATCCCCCACAAAACTTATATATGTGGGGTTCTTTTTTTATTTAAGGCTTAATAGTTAATTTTGTAGTTAATGTTCAATAAATATGGGGTAAATATATCTCTTTACCGTCGTTAGGTTTTTTTGTTAACACACGCTCGCGTTGCCGTCGTGGTTTTTTCGTCTTCCGTTCACCGTCGTTTCTTTTAATGGGATGCCCTCTTCGTTGCTCGTCGTTTTCTAGGGATGGGATCATCATTTCTATCATCGTTGCCGCTCGGTGTGTTCGGTTATGATTTGCGTACGAAACTGTACACCAACCCATATATTTGTATACAATATACATGCATATATCCCTAAACTCTTCGAGTAACGCATAAACGTTTGCATGGACTTCAAGATTTATTGATGGAAAGAAAATTTATTTTTTATATAGTACAATAAATTAGAAAAGAGGACTATTTATAGATAGAATATCATTGCCAATACAATTGATGCTGAGATTATTATGTGGATAATACAGATTTGATTCCCCGTCCAGGGAGATGTCGATCACATTCCCTTACTTCTCCAGGCAGCGAGCCTCGTCCTTGGGCACACAGCTCTGTTCCAGCCAGTCGAATCGCTTCTTTTTGTCGCAGCGCAGGTGCACGAACTTGTGCTTCTCAGAGGAACTCTTCACCTCACAGCGGTAGTATTTCTTGCAGTCACGGACATCAGGGAAGACGTCCTCCTCGTTGCAGTCCTCCTCGTTCTTCAGTTTCTTGATGATGTTCTTCACGTACTTCTTCTTTTCCTTTGAGCTCAGCTTGTCCTCGTCATTCTTCTCATCATCCTTGGACTTCTTCGACTCGCTGTCCTTTTCTTCCTTTTCCTCCTTTTCCTCCTTGGAATCTTTCGACTTTTCCTTCTCCTGTTCTTTCTTCTCTTCGCGGGAACTGTCCTTCTCAGCGGAGTTGGGCTTCTTCTGCTCCTGCTCCTTGGACTGGTCTTCGCCTGACTTCGGCTTGTCCTTTGGTTTCTCGCCAGATCCCTTGTTGCTCTCTTCGACAGAGGCGTTCTCGCTGGATGCAGCTCCACCTGATGGGGGTGCAGGGGCAGCCTGCTCTACGCTCTCGACAGCTTCGGGGCTATTGTTGCTGGGCTTCTCTGGTCGCTGCGGACTCGCTGGTTCCGGACTGGTAGCGGGGGCTTGAGTAACGGTGACTGGCTTACGAGTTGTGCGCCAGCTGTTTACCCAGTTCTGCCAGTTCGGCCAGAATGGAAGTGGCCGATTGGGTGAGGTGGGCTGGGAATTGCCATTGTTGGGTCCTTCAGCCTTATCGGTTTGTCCTGGACGATGTGGGCCCAATGGCCAGAACGGCAGCTGCGGAATTGGGCGGAAAGTTGGTCGAGTCTGGCCTGGCAGAATAGGATCGGCAGTCGAAACAGCCGGAGCGTTAGGATCAGCTGGAGTACCAGGAGCAGCAGTCGAAACAGCGGGTGCGTTGGGAACTGCTGGAGCACCAGGAGCAGCCGGGGTACCAGGAGCGGCAGTTGAACCAGGGGGAGCGTTGGGATCGGCAGGAGTACCAGGAGCAGCAGTCGAAACAGCGGGAGCGTTGGGATCAGCAGGAGTGCCAGGAGCGGCAGTCGAGCCAGCGGGAGCGTTGGGATCAGCAGGGGTACCAGGAGCAGCAGTCGAAACAGCCGGAGCGTTAGGATCGGCAGGAGTACCAGGAGCAGCAGTCGAAACAGCGGGAGCGTTGGGATCAGCAGGAGTGCCAGGAGCAGCAGTCGAAACAGCCGGAGCGTTAGGATCGGCAGGAGTACCAGGAGCAGCAGTCGAAACAGCGGGAGCGTTGGGATCAGCAGGAGTGCCAGGAGCGGCAGTCGAGCCAGCGGGACCGTTGGGATCAGCAGGGGTACCAGGAGCGGCAGTTGAACCAGCGGGAGCGTTGGGATCGGCAGGAGTACCAGGAGCAGCAGTCGAAACAGCGGGAGCGTTGGGATCTGCTGGAGCACCAGGAGCAGCAGTTGATCCAGCGGGAGCGTTGGGATCAGCAGGGGCACCAGGAGCGGCAGTTGAACCAGCGGGAGCGTTGGGATCGGCAGGGGTACCAGGAGCAGCAGTCGAAACAGCGGGAGCGTTGGTATCAGCAGGAGTGCCAGGAGCGGCTGTCGAGCCAGCGGGAGCGTTGGGATCAGCAGGGGTACCAGGAGCAGCTGTCGAACCAGCGGGAGCGTTGGGATCGGCAGGAGTACCCGGAGCGGCAGTTGAACCAGCGGGAGCGTTGGGATCAGCTGGAGTTCCAGGAGCGGCTGTCGAACTGGCGGGAGCGTTGGGATCCAGAGGAGCATTGGGGTCCAGAGGAGCATTAGGATCCAGTGGTGCGTTGGGATCGGCAGGAGCTCCAGGAGCGGCAGTCGAACCAGCGGGAGCGTTAGGGTCCACAGGAGCATTGGGGTCCAGAGGAGCATTAGGGTCCAGTGGAGCATTAGGGTCCAGTGGAGCGTTGGGATCAGCTGGAGTTCCAGGAGCGGCTGTCGAACCGGCGGGAGCGTTGGGATCTAGAGGAGCATTGGGATCCAGGGGTGCGTTGGGATCGGCAGGAGCTCCAGGAGCGGCTGTCGAACCAGCGGGAGCGTTGGGATCCACTGGAGTTCCAGGAGCGGCTGATGAACCGGCGGGAGCGTTGGGATCTAGAGGAGCATTGGGATCCAGGGGTGCGTTGGGATCGGCAGGAGCTCCAGGAGCGGCTGTCGAACCAGCGGGAGCGTTGGGATCTGCTGGAGTTCCAGGAGCGGCTGTCGAACCGGCGGGAGCGTTGGGATCCAGAGGAGCATTGGGGTCCAGAGGAGCATTAGGATCCAGTGGTGCGTTGGGATCGGCAGGAGCTCCAGGAGCGGCAGTCGAACCAGCGGGAGCGTTAGGGTCCACAGGAGCATTGGGGTCCAGAGGAGCATTAGGGTCCAGTGGAGCGTTGGGATCAGCTGGAGTTCCAGGAGCGGCTGTCGAACCGGCGGGAGCGTTGGGATCTAGAGGAGCATTGGGATCCAGGGGTGCGTTGTGATCGGCAGGAGCTCCAGGAGCGGCTGTCGAACCAGCGGGAGCGTTGGGATCTGCTGGAGTTCCAGGAGCGGCTGTCGAGCCGGCGGGAGCGTTGGGATCTAGAGGAGCATTGGGATCCAGGGGTGCGTTTGGATCGGCAGGAGCTCCAGGAGCGGCTGTCGAACCAGCGGGAGCGTTGGGATCCGCTGGAGTTCCAGGAGCGGCTGTCGAAGCAGCGGGATCGTTGGGGTTTACCTCGCCAGGAGCAGCGGTTGATCCTTCTGGTGCGTTGGGGTCCAGAGGAGCATTGGGATCCAGGGGTGCGTTGGGGTCAGCAGGAGATCCAGGAGCGGCAGTCGAAGCAGCGGGATCGTTGGGGTTTACCTCTCCAGGAGCAGCGGTTGTTCCTTCTGGTGCGTTGGGGTCCAGGGGAGCATTAGGATCCAGCGGTGCGTTGGGATCAGCAGGGGCTCCAGGAGCAGGAGTCGAACCAGCGGGATCGTTGGGGTTTACTTCTCCAGGAGCAGCGGTTGTTCCTTCTGGTGCGTTGGGGTCCAGAGGAGCATTGGGATCCAGCGGTGCGTTGGGATCAGCAGGTACTCCTGGAGCAGGAGTCGAACCAGCGGGATCGTTGGGGTTTACCTCTCCAGGAGCAGCGGTTGATCCTTCTGGTGCGTTGGGGTCCAGAGTAGCATTGGGATCCAGCGGTGCGATGGGATCGGCAGGAGCTCCAGGAGCGGCTGTCGAACCAGCGGGAGCGTTGGGATCCGCTGGAGTTCCAGGAGCAGCTGTCGAAGCAGCGGGATCGTTGGGGTTTACCTCGCCAGGAGCAGCGGTTGATCCTTCTGGTGCGTTGGGGTCCAGAGGAGCATTGGGATCCAGGGGTGCGTTGGGGTCAGCCGGAGATCCAGGAGCGGCAGTCGAAGCAGCGGGATCGTTGGGGTTTACCTCTCCAGGAGCAGCGGTTGTTCCTTCTGGTGCGTTGGGGTCCAGGGGAGCATTGGGATCCAGCGGTGCGTTGGGATCAGCAGGGGCTCCAGGAGCAGGAGTCGAACCAGCGGGATCGTTGGGGTTTACTTCTCCAGGAGCAGCGGTTGTTCCTTCTGGTGCGTTGGGGTCCAGAGGAGCATTGGGATCCAGCGGTGCGTTGGGATCAGCAGGTACTCCTGGAGCAGGAGTCGAACCAGCGGGATCGTTGGGGTTTACCTCTCCAGGAGCAGCGGTTGTCCCTTCTGGTGCGTTGGGGTCCAGAGGAGCATTGGGATCGATGGGTGCGTTAGGATCAACAGTAGATCCTTCGGGCGCATTGGGGTCCAATGGTGCATTAGGATCGATTGTTGTGTTGCTTCCATCAGAGCCGGGAGACAGAGTTGTCTCAACAGGCGCGTTGGGATCCCAGGAAGCATCGGTGGTAGTGTCCTCGGGAATGACTGATATGGTGGACTCCGGGTCTAGGGGCAGCTCGGACCATGCCGTTTCTGTGGTTGTTTCCGTGATGATGGTTGTCTCAGCAGGAGCTGTGGTTGTCTCAGCTGGAGCCGTGGTCGTCTCAGCTGGGGCTGTGGTCGTCTCAACTGGAGCTGTGGTCGTCTCAACTGGGGCTGTGGTCGTCTCAGCTGGAGCAGATGATCCTGGACCCTCAGTGGAGATCACTTCGGGGGTGGCGTTGGAGGCAACGACAAGCGGGGCAGATTCACTCACGGCGGCCGGACTGTCGGTGATCGTCACCATCTTCGCAACAGCCGCCGTGGGTGCCTCTGCGTCCGACTTGATGGGCTCGCAGATCTCGATGCCATCGGTGACGCAACGGGTGCTCGTCTGGCAGGCAATGACGGCGCCCGTGGTCAGATCGTCCACGCAGATCTGGTAGGTGAGAGGTCCCACGCAGACAGCCGACTTGCCACCGCACTTGAGGACGGCGGCGGCTCCTCTTGCCTGGTGGTTTGCCACTAGGGCTGTAAGCTGGAAGAGAGATGCAGAAGAGGGGCGGGAGGTTAGTCGGGCTGCGATCTCGAAGGGAGTCGGTGCACTGTTCGTCGCAAGTCATGGCGGAGACTCGGGACCGCAACAACTACACATTGGGTACGTTTCACTTGCATAGGATACTTTTGAGTTGTCGCTGATTGATTTGAACGTTATCCAAAGTATCAAGAATCCCGGGAGCTAAGGTTAGTTCGGGTTCGTTTGGGGTTCGATTTAGCGGGGTTGGGTTGGGGTTTGGTGTTTGTGTTTTTCGTGGCGTGTATCGAGGCATATCCAAGTGCCACACCGAAGTTCCAATAGAAAATTTATACGACTCGTCAGCAAAGACAGAACAGCAAGCAACAAAAAAAAAATATCAAATAAAAAAATAATTCCATCTTGGCACTTGGAGCCGATGAAGCGATCGATCAACATGATGCGGGCTCTGCGGATATGATGGATTGCTGGTCGCGACTTTGGGATTATGCAATTACCACAAGTAAGACCAGAAGTCTGGTCGATCGGTTCGTTGTCATCGTCGTCGTTTGATCCGTTGGGTTCGAATGAAAGATCGTTACTATCCTCTGTACGCCTATCTGTCGCGCTTTTATGCAAAATCTCCGGCGTATCTTTGTTCCGTTCCGGCGAAATCTTCTGTGACGCTAGCCAAATAAACGATAATCGCTTGTTTGCCCCTGATAAGCGCAGCTAAACCAATTTATGATATTGCGGAGTAAGATATTCCATTCTGGCTACCCAAAAAACATAGAGAAAACTCCAACGTATCTGTGGTATCAGTGCTCCAGGCAAGGGACTCGAACTGCTCAAATGAGGTCGAAGGGCCCAAATTCTCAATGGTAAAGGCGATGTGATGTTATGTGATGTGATGTGCTGTGACCACCCGCCTTGATGTGGTCTTCTGATCACGCACTTTTCCGCTGGGTCCATGAATCACTCCCCTTATCGAGTCAGAAGAGTTAAACGATAATATAGTTCTCGGGAATCTGTTTTGAATGCCAAATACGTAATCTTAATCTTGGCCAGCTAACGTCAAGGTAAATGTTGATAAAACGGGCTGCGCATTTCCGTTGACTAGCGTCTTTGCTTTATTTGCCCCAAACCAAAGATACGAGTAAATACACAAAAACACAGGGTACGGAACATATTCGTTTTTCTGGATTTTATTTGACACTATCCCATCCCATCCCATTCAGAAGCGTTCCTCAGATGTGATGTGATGTGATGGGGTCATACCAGAATGCATTTTCATCGTCAGACCCCGTTCATGACGCAGCCAGTCTCTTGCCCTCTTCTTTGCGAGCATCTAGATAAGAATTGAGTACACGTATTTCGGTAGCCCCAAACAGATAACCCTTCAGCTATGATCTGCTGTCCAAAATGCACGTCACTTCGGACTCGTCCTGACATCTGAGATCCACCGCAAATGCACAACCGGTCGCATGAACGATATATTGTACTGGAGGCCCTTACGGAGGGCAGCAATCTTGAGTTGGAACCCACGACATTGAATAACCAGAGACACCAGAACACACGACTACGAGTATGTTATAGAACCAGATTCTATTATTATTATTTTATTCCATTATATGTGATTACTGATAGAGCAAGTGAAGTATTTTCGTACCCAAGATTCCAGTGGATTGCAGTGCAGTGTTTTAAATTTTACAACCCATATGTTCCGACATTCCCCCGAGGCCCAAGTACTCAATGGCCTGCATCCAAGATTTCATTTTGCTATGGGCCAAAACTTCCATTAGCATCTGTTATGGATCCCATGGAGGGTTCTATTCATCCCTTTGACACCGAGCGGCCGGCCCATTGGATATGCCCTTTGAGCTTGTCCCGCAAATTCCATGAATATTGAACAATTAAGTGGAATTTGCTTTACTTTTTCCGCTGTTAATGCGGTTAAGCCGTACAACAAAAAATGATAAATGGCAAACGCAAAATGCAAAATGAAAAGCGGAAAATGAAAAATGAAAAATGCAATGCAGGCGCAGTCACATTGCGGTTTCGTGTGTCTAGACAATACAATAAATACAGTTAGCCATATATTTGTATTATGAAATGCGAAGAAGAGTGGGTGCCCACAGATACGGATGAACTCTCGTTTGATATTGTATTATGACTGTTGGAGTGGCCATGGATGAGTGGCCCCAATGGCTGGGTGAGTGGGGTCATGGTGGTGTGCTCATGTGACGGCGTGGCATTCCACGTGCTAATTTGCCCGGCACCCAGTGGATGGGCAAGCAGTACAGGACCCAAATAGGCTTTTGGGGGACATCGCCCGGAGGCCCCTTGGCATGCAAATGAAGTAAGACGAGTCAAATTATGCAAGAGCTCACGGTGGGCTCTCCACCCCAACAACCAACACCCAAAACCCAACCCCAATCTCATCCACTTGCCTGCGCCACTGGCCTTGCCGCAGTACAATCCTATGCAGCTCCCTGCTTGCAACTTGCAGCTCCGTTAATGTTGTTGGCGTTGCGGTCGCGGTGGCGGCCGCGGCCGCGGCCACGGCGATGGCACTGGCAATGAGTATGACTATGACTGCTGCTGCTGCTGCTGCTGCTATGAGGATGGCTTCCAGTGAGTCGCGGCTCTCTTGCCTCATTGGCATTGCACAAAGCGAGCGGCGTTGGCTAAATTTGCATAAATTAACAATGTTTCCGAATGGCAGCCATTGGTGCAGCGCATTCTTGGCACCAGGGGATGGCATAAGGGGGAGGCCCGCACAATCCACACATGGCCAGTATACACTGTATCCACCGTGTCCACCGTGTGTGTGCGCGCTTGTGTGTCCCAGCCGTGGGCACTGTGCGCGTTTTATTGATTTGATGCTCCAATGCACTTATTATCTCCGAGGCAGCCACTGCCAGTTAATCCCCGGACGATGCCACGCCATTTTCCACACTGTCCCACAGAGTCGCAGACACATGAGCATTAGGGTGTGCCACATATCGTCGAAGTTGATCGATTGCGGCTCATTAGGGCTCCATTCACTCGGAGGATATTCGAGTGCGGTCTGCTCTGCACAATGGAGGATTACGAGTCTGTAAATCTGGGGCACAGAGCCATTAGAATGCTGGAGCTCTTTAAATGAAATTTTTCATTTTCATATAGTGTGGAATGCTTCTTCGAAAATGTTTTTCTTCACACTCCTCTTCATATTCTTCATATTCCTCGTGAGGGACGATCTAGTGAGCCACCTGAATGTGGGTGGTATTTTGCATTATAAATTGCTCCAATGTGGGTCCGTGGCCATCTATGCATGCGGGTCCACAAAACGAAATCATTATAGAGTCAATTAATCGAATGGCCCTACCCAGCATTATTGATAAACAGTGAGATTATCGCTGTTATAGCTCAGAAAAAGTGAGCAATTTAAACGATTTTCTATACGTAATAAGTCAACCCCTTACGACCGTCAAATATGAATACATGTGTACCTCAAATAGTTTTGGTCTTCAGTCCGAAGGCGTTCGTTCCTTGCGTTCTTTCTCGGAGAGGATGGCAGATCCTTTCCATCCCAGCAGAAGGATGGGAAATCCCAGAGGAAGTCCGTTGGAAGCCATGTTGGTCTCTAGCGGCGCTTTCCATGACACGATCTTCTATAATTCCATTGAATCTCCGGCTGAAATAATAAGCAAGTTGTAGTAAGAACCCGTTAAAAAGAGGCGTTGAGGTTTTTTATCATACAGAGAAGAGTTTATGGCATCTTTGTATCACACTAAGGAATTAGGAAAAACATCATCATTGGGTATTAATGGCCCAATGGCTTCATCGTGACCGCATGGACCACTTATGTATAACAGCGGACACGGACATTAAGGGCAGTCAGTGATGGCCATCCATTGATGTCTAAAAATTATATTTGAGATATGGGAATCCGAGACCCCATTTTGTTCGTTGGATACTGTATTTATTTTCGTCTAAAGTGCAAATGGGACTTACATATATATATATATATATATGTACGAAGTTCCACTGCAAGACAGGCACATTTAGGCAGTATTTGATAACGTTAGGGATTTCCTTTGCCCCCTATATGACCTACAATTAAATTCCCAGTTCTCTACGCACATATTTTTTTATGATTTTCACTTTATTTGTACTCGTTTCTGATGTAGTTGTGGTGGTGGCTCTCGTTTCATTGTTGCTGCTGTTGTTTTAAATCCATTAGGACATGACAACCCCCTGGTTGAATTCAATTAAATTGTTTTCTCTTCGGGTTTACATTTCTTGGCAACTTTATAATTGTTTCATGTGTTTAAACCACTGCCAGGAACAACAACGGCAGAGCCTGGGCCACAGAAACGAGATGGGGAAGTTGGGCACCGAGGGACCAAGACTCGCAGGCGCAAAGCCAAGAAACAATGGCAGGAGGAGCGATGGAAGAGGCAGCGGCAGAGGCAGTGGCAGCGGCAGCGTCAGCATAAGAAATAACTGGCCAAGGTAAGAACATGGCAAACGAATGGAAGCGGCCAAAAGAGGGGGCGCAGGGCCAGAGCAGGGCAGAGAAGCAGAAAGAAACGAAGTTTGTAGTAGCCTCGAGAGATTCCGTCCCATTTCCACCCACGAGCCGGTCCCTGGTTCTGGCATTCGTTTTGGTTTTGGTTTGCTGTTGTGTTTTTTGTCTTTTCTCTAAAATAATCAAAGAAAATGAGGGAAAGAACCAAATAAATAATAAGCCAAAAATAACAAAGGCAGGAGTTGTTAGTTTTTTTCGTCTACCTTTTTCCGAACATAATCATATGTATGTTACACATACATAGACACAGATCATTATAGACAGAACGAGAGAGCCTGATCGAAAATAAGACGAAAATATATCAAAAGGGAATATTTATCGATGATGGCATACAGAATATTTTTTATTAATTATTTACATGTAAGTTTGTTCCAATTTTTGTGATAAAGATAATACGAGTATATAAATATGTTAATCTATAGATAAAAGCACAAAACGTATACAAATAACGTGAACAAAGGCAATATCACATTCCCATATTTTTGTATTCAGGAACTTGGAAATAGGGTGCGGATCTTAAATGTATGTAAGACACAAAATAATAAATGGATATGTACAAATTTAGGACATGATAAGAATTTGGTTCGGTTTACTGATACGTTAGCTTTTGTCACTTGTCGTTATTAGCTCCAGTCTCAAGGGAGTATTCTCTTGCTGCCTGCAGATGCATTTTTGGAGGCGATAGACGTAGGCAAGATGTGAAGAATCTTACCATCTGTGTAATTTTTAGGTTCGCTTCGATTGTTATAGTTCAACAGTTCAAAAAATCTTCTTCGCTACGAAACATTGTTTCACTGAAATAAAGATTCTAAATTCACAAATTTATCGCTAAGTGATGGTGAAAATATGAAGTATACCATGAAGACATTTCTCCAGAAAATGATTCCAAAGCTAAGTATTTTTGTGCCCATGACACAGACATTCGTTTTAGTAATGTCAAAAACAGCAGATCCGAAAGGAGGCAAAAAACGTCAAGTTTTGTGAAAAAACAAAGAATGTATGGATAGCACAA